AGTCTTTATTTTACAGTAAAATATATGTTTATTAAATAAAGTCTAATGTTACAACTAATCATGGATCCCTTTAAAGAAAACCAATTCTCTCTGATGAATATTAACACAAGAAAAAATATCAGTAAAATGACAAAAATATATGGTACAAATATTTTTTACAGTCTGACCTTTAGTTAAAGTGTTGGTTGCTACACTATGTTACCAACTTTATATGAATTATTCTTCTGTGCCATAAAAATCTATAGTGCTAAACAATAAAAACACATCTGTATGACACTATTACACATATTTCCCATAAGTGTTTTAATATTCAATGTGACCTAAATAACAGTTAATAAAAGATAAAGTACTGATGTGATTTATTAAATCAGTCAAGCTTTTAAAAGATGTTAATTAAAGCCTGCGTCACAGAGGAGGGAAAAAAAAGGATCAAGAGGTGAAGAAGCAATTTGCAGAATTTGTTGCTAGAAGACGTGRCTCACCTGGAAACACCTTGAGGGGGAGGTTTTTCTCCAAACTGAGAACTAAGGCTTTGGCTGTGATGCTAAAAATCTGCCTGGGAGTGAAATTCACCCCATCATTGACTTGGAAGTTGAATCCTCCGGACATGGCACCTAAAATATGACATGAAAATCAATACAACTGAAGAGTTACAAGAAATTAAAAAAGGTCAATTAAAATTGGTGATACAGAAAGAACAAAAACAGATCTATATTATGAGCCCAAAAGGGAACTCTCAGTATTACTGCAGGCATGTTTACAAAATGTGATGAGGGTTTTTTTTGTTTCTATTATTAGACTAAACAAAAAGCAGAATTTGAGCAGTAAGCAGAAACATAATGACAAAAGCTGGAGAGTTCCTCCTGACAAGATTAATTCCCTCAGCTGACACAAAAGGAAACTGAGTCAGACTGTTTTCAACTACAAACAGCACCTGCTAGTGGAGGAAGAAGGAACAGCAAAAGACAAGATGATGAATTACGTTTGGTATTAAATTTTAATCGTGCAAGAGAACCAGAGGTTCGCCATAAATAGAGCAAATTACACTCAGCTGTTGTTGTTTTCTTCATACATAAAAGGTTATATAAATACGAGCTAAAATCTGATTTAACGACATAATTCTGTTTGTCGCATTACCTTTGTGAACAAACAGCAGCTGTCCCTGGTCGATGTGGGCCTGGGTGAAGTTCAACACTGCCTTCATGGGATTGCTCTTGAGGGCCAGGTGTCCATTGCTCGGAGGGGTCACCATGAAGTGCATCTCCTCTGGGGGGGAATCCAGGTCCTGTGCTCTCAGATCCTCTGGTCTGATTTCTGTAACCGACGACACCCAAACCTAGAGAAGAGGACACAACAGGTGCTGTTGGATGGATACAAACCACCAGAAACTTTAAAGGTTTTGCTAATTTAATGCAGTGGTTCTCAAAGTTGGGGTCGGGACCCAAAGTGGGGTCCTGAAACATCAAGGTGGGGTCCTGAAAAGATTTTCTGTATTAATTACTTAGTTGCCTAAAGTGTATAAATGTAGAATAATAAATATTGTTACTGTGCCCATGTTTAGTTGACCTGATACAAATGTTTATC